GGGCGGGGCGGGGCGGGGCACTCACGTCCATCAGGGCGCTGGTGTCCACACTGAAGCCGTGACTGGTCAGCACGGTCTGTAGGTTGTCCAGGTTGGAGTCCATGGCATCCAGGTGGTCACTGAGCTCGTTCCTGGCCCAGGTGAGCAGGAGGTGGGTGAAGCATGGCCCAGGCACCCCAGACAGCCCTCAGAGCACAGCCCCCCTCGCCACAGCAGCCTGCCGGCTCAGGCGGATGGAGTCCCTGGCAGGCAGTGGGCTCACCAGGAGCCCCTGCACTGGTGTGGGCCAGGCAGGACTGTGGGCAGTGTGTGGTGGGCCTGCTTGTCACCGTGAGGCCTGCAGGCCCCTGGGTGGTTTTGCTCCTGGGACAGGCTGGACAAGGCCTCCTCGCCTTTGCACTTGGGACAAAGTAAGGACGGAGGACGATGAAGAGCTGTGTCAGGTACGGGGCTGTGGCCGACCCATCTCTCTGGGCTGCCTGGCCCACCTGGGCCCTGTGATAGCCCCAGCCCCACAGAGCAGGGGCACCGCCCCCAGCACAGCTGCCTGGGTGCCGACCAAGGGCGTCAGGTGGGAGGGCCCATCCCTGGCACAGCACCAACTTAGGTCACTGGCTTTTGCCCAGGAGTCAGTGCAGACACAGACCCGAGGCCACTCCCTTGACAGAGGGCCCGGGATGCCCGCCCGCCCGCCACCGGGCAGGGCTGAGTACCCAAGCACAGGCCGGGCTCTGGCGAGGGAGGACCGGAGCTCTGGTGAGCCCTCCTCCCTCCCGGGTGGGGCAGCGCTAACCCTGGCTGGACTCGGCCATGCAGAGAGGAAGAGGAGGGGCAGGGGAAGAGGCGGGCGACCCCAGACATCTGTGGAGCGCGAGCCCAACTGCAAGATACAAAGACAAGAACCCCTGATTGCAGGGGGCCGGGCAGCTCCACCCCACCCTCGCTCACCCAGCCCGGGGCAGCCGAGGCAAGGCCGGCCCGCTCACCATTTCCTGCCCGGTCTAAGGCCGGGGCTGGGCAGCACACAAAGGCGAGGACCCGAGGGAGGGCCTGTGGCGGGGTGGACTGCCACACACCCCGGCTCCTGCACAATGGGGGCTGTGGCTGATCTGGTTAGTGTCCGCACCCTCCTCAGCCACAAGCTCGGAGGCCAGCAAGGCCCCACTCACCACCCAGCAGCCCTGCACCCACAGGCCCTGGGGGTGACCTGAGGCTGGGCAGGTGTCCAGGCTCTGGACATCCTGCTGGAGCCACCTCCCCCTGCTCCCAGGGGCTGAGTGACAGGGGTAGGGAGCCACTCACTTGTCCAGGCAGGCCACGCTGAGGCACTTCTCCGGGGTGGAGGCGGGTAGGGGTGTGGGGTTTCGGTCCCCGTCTTGTGCAGCCTGGGTGGCCGAGGGGGCGGTGGCGGGCTCGCTCTCCCGCAAGATGGAGTCGATGAGGGCGGTCGGGGACAGGGGGGTCTCCACCTCAGAGGAAGGCTGCCCAGGGCTCACCTCCTCCACCTGGGGGCTCTGAGGGGGGCTGGGCGGCTCCTCCTTGACGCGTACCCGGGGGCTGCTCGATAGGGGCCTGGACGGGCATGCATGGATGCTCAGGGTGGGGGCGGGACCTCAGCAAGTCTTCCCGGCCCTGGCCCTACCCCACCCCCACCTCTGCCTCAGGCGGGGACGGGGGTGGGGGCTGGGGAGGGTGACGGCTCCCACCTCTCATCGATGCTTCCGCCTGGGGAGGCCGAGGGGCTGGCTGGAGCCAACTCCGTGATGTCAGAGATGATGGGGCCAGAGCTGGCCATGGCGTCTGGGGAGAAGAGGCTGGAGCCGCTGTAGGTGGGGGATGAGGCCTGCAAGGGAAGCAGGCTGGCGGCATGCACGCGAGGGGCAGCTCCGCCCACCCAGCTGGTGAGGCCCCGCACCTATCCCACCCGCCCCACGCCCATCCCACCGCCCACCCAGCTGGTGAGGCCCAGCACCCACCCCGCCTGCCCTGCGCTCACCCAGCCGGTGGGGCCCAGTGCCCACCCTGCTCGCCCAGTGCCCGCAATGCTCGCTTAGCGCCCACCCAGCCCGTGTGGCCCAGCGCCCACCCTGGTCGCCCAGTGCCCACAATGCTCGCTTAGCGCCCACCCAGCCCGTGTGGCCCAGCGCCCACCCTGGTCACCCAGCCCGTGTGGCCCAGCGCCCACCCTGGTCGCCCAGTGCCTGCCCTGCCTGCCCAGCCCGTGGGGCCCAGCGCCCACCCTGGTCGCCCAGCGCCCACCCTGCTCGCCCAGAGCCTGCCCTGCCTGCCCAGCTGGTGAGGCCCAGCGCTCACCGCGAATGGGGCTGCGCCGTGCACGTGCTCCAAGGAGTACTGCCGGCCATACTTGGGCATGGGGTGCGCCGAGCCGCTGTCGCTCAGCATCAGGGGGCTGCAGGGGAGGGGCAGGTTAGCGAGGGCCAGTGCCGCGGGGCCCGTCCGAGGGCAGGCGTCCCCGCGCCTCACATCTTTCTCTTCACCCCCAGGATCCGGTTTGACTGCACCAGGGAGATCAGGAACTGGATGAGCTGTGGGC